AGGTGGTAAATTTTGTCTTTTGCTGGTGAGTTCTTCTTCCGGGGTTTTGGGAGGAGGGGGGGGGTCTTTCGGTTGGCTTGGGTGTTCCTGGGGAGTGGCCGCCATCCAGGCTGGCAGTGCTAAACACAGACCCTCCGGATGACTCAGGTTCACTTCCCGGTCTGCCCGGTCGCTCCTGTCTCGCTCCTGTGGGAACTCACCCTCTTTCTGTGTTGCTTCCTCATTTTGGACCTCCCTCCTTCCTCCCTCTTTATCCTTGTCATGTGTCCCTGTTCCCACCCTTTCTGTCTCAGACCTATGTTCGTCAGTTAATAACAAATCGTCTTCCGGCGGGGGGGTTTCCTGTCCATTTATTACTGCGGGTTCCCCCTGGGGAATGTTGTCTTTTCCTCGTGTACTCAGCCTTATCTCTTCGTTCCTGGTTGTGGTTCAGCGGGTTTGTGAGTCCCCCTGTTCTTCTTTTTCCTCACTTGTTTCCTGGTCTGCCGTTGGGGGTTGGAAACGGTTCAGTACAATACAGAGCAGTTTTTGGCATATGTTTTGCCAATCCATCGCATCTGGGAGACCCTGTAGCAGCGCTTTGTGGAGGCTAGCACTATTTTCCAGCATAGGGATTAGTGCACTGTACACTCCGTCCCAAAAGTCGTCATTGCCTCTGCTATATTTCGTGTGGAGGCTATCCATAAGCCAGTCCACTATTTCCTGTAGACCCAGTTTTGGCACTCTGCTGTCTTGTTCTTGTTGAGCGTCCGTCATCTCTACTTCTGGGGGATTGGGTGGGGGAGGAGGGGGAGAGGGGGCCCCTGGAATTATCTCTATTTCCATTAACGTCGGGCCAAAAGCCTCTTGAAAAAAATCCTCCTCCTCTTGAATTTCCTTTGTGAAGTCACTGTGTGTTCCCTGTCCCCCCTTCGGGACCTCCAGAGTGGTATTTGTCGGGTACGGAGAGTCGGGTTTATCCGCCTCCTTGGCCTTGAGCCTCCATTCCTTCTGCTGTCTCTCAATGCCAGATTGCACTGTCAGTAGGCTCCCTGTCGGCAGGTATTTCGTGGCTGTTGGTCCCACGTTTGATTTTTTCTGTTTCTCATTCAATTGTTTGGGTAGCATGTTCGGCTGGTTGTTCTTTCCTTGGGGGGGGGGAAGCAGTCCCTGAGCCGGTAACCTTGTTTCTGGCTCCTTGTTGGGGGGGGGGACATTTCAGACTTCCTGGGCTCTTTTGGGGCCGGGGGGACCCAGTCATTCGGGGGCCTAGTGGTCCAGCATATGCCACCTCGGCCTTCCCAAACCCAGCCTTTTGTTTGGCCATTTGAGTCAAGGTCTTCGAGATATACCCACCCCTCGTGGCCCGGGTCCACTGTGTGCCACCTGTTTGGTCAGTGTTGATCCCATTGAAGGCGTCCTGCTGTCAGATTCCTTTTGTTGGGGTGATGGGGTTAGGCTGATTCCGTGCACAGGTGCCCGTATGCCCTGCACTTGAAGCACCAAGGCCTGGACTTGTGTGCTGTGTGACTTTTGTAAGTTTTCCCTCCCATCCTGAAGGGGATGATATCATCTATAGAAAAGGGTTGGTCTTTGGGGAGGTCCAAAGCCAACATCATGTGATCGTCACGTTTCGCCACATAGGAGGGGAGGGGGTCAATGAAGTCGACAATGTTGTATTGTTGACCGAAGTCGTAAACGAAGGCAGCCTGTACCTCTACGGGTATGTGTCTCAGCTCCACCTAGAAAAAATCCTTCATCAATTGGTCTCTTTTCTCTTCCGGGGTCAGTTTCTTTGGTTGCCATGGATATATGCGCACATCTGATCTTTCCCATCTGATTTTCTTCCATCCATCTATCTTTTGTTTATCTTGGGTGAAAAGGCTGAGGACTGTGAATACCGTTGAGGAAAGGGGTTGGATTAAGAAGAATTCCTGCACCGCCTCCGCACTGCCTTTCATCTCTTCCAATCGTTTACATATCCATCTTATCTTGTCGTTGACTGATTTTTGAGCGACTTCCCCATGGAAAAGCCAGTTGCTTGCATGCTTAATGTACGCGTTATCTCTTGCTTCCAATTTGTCCACAGGGTATGTCTTCATTAGTGTTTTCCTCCCTCCTTGATCTACCACTTGATTTTCTGAGCGGAGGAGAAACAGGGTGAGGAAATATGCTCTGGCAGATGAGAGGTTATAGAGGGGTACACTCAACACTTCGTTCCCTCCTTGTCGGTCTCCTGGAGAGACCCGTTTTATAGTGAGGGTTTTTTCCTGAATTTTGTTCCTGACTCTTTGTGCCCATGAGCCTTTCTTCCCGCCTGCATCGCAGGTTTGGTCAGTCTCGGGGGTCTGTTTTCGTTTCGTTTTTCTGTGTTTTTTTCCTCTTCTGTTAGCACCCCTTCATCTCTGTCGCTCTCCCTTTCCTCATCTCCCTCCTCTATTTCCATACTCAGATCATTATCAGGGGAGGTTCCTTCCAGCATCTTGTTCCTTTCTTCTTGGCCAACCTCGTTGCGAGGGGACGATGCTTGGTCGGATTTGGCCACTGCTGTTTCTTTATTGCGGTCGTCTGACAGGGGCGGCCATTGCTGTTGGTCTGAAAGCATCTCTGTTCGGGCGGGGAGTCCACCTATTCGTTCTGTTGTCTGGCGGGTGAGTTTCTTGTTCTTTGTGCTTGCTGGTCTTGCATAAGGGTTTATTGATAGATGTTTGTTTAGGTTGTGCCTCATTGCCCCTCGATAAAATATGAGGGACAGTGGGCCCCCGATCCTCTTGTTACGTACTTCCATTCTGTGTTTCTGTTAACTCGTTTTCCCCCTTTTTATTTTGTGTATGAGCTGGCTTCGAGAAAATGAACGGGCCCCGGGGGTGATACCAGCGGGTGGGGAGCAGGTTGAACAGAGATAAGGGCAGGGTCAGCGGGGGGGGGGGGGGGGGGGGGGAGTGATACCTGACCTGTCTCACTATCGCCTAATCAATCGCCCCTCGTTCTCCAGCAGGGTGTCGGTTTCTTATTAGTGCGACCCGGAGTTTCTTCCTCCTCTCTGTTTTGTTTTTTCCTTAGTCCCTCTGAAGCCTCTTATCCTAGCTGTCCAGCTTCTTCTTATCACCTCTCCATGGATCGACACTTCCCTTCTTAGCAGGTTACCCCCTGCTCTTGTGTGTTCCTACGCTCCCTTCTCTCGCGAATTCCCCTGCCACGTATCCTACTGCCAATTGATCATCGCCTTTGCTCCTCTGTCATTCGTTGTCTCTGTCGAGTTAGCTCCTCTGCCACGTTTCCCGCTGATTCCACTCGCTTGTCACGTCTGCTCCTTTGCCGCTTCTCGTTTCTGTCAAGTGCGGTCTAAGGACGTCCTCCGATGTCAATCGCTTACCATCACTACTACCTCGGGTTACCCCCTGCTTCGTTGTGTTCCTTCTCCTCCTTCTGTCCCGTATTCCCCTGCCACGTATCCTGCTGCCAATTGATCATCGCCTTTGCTCCTTTGTCGCTCGTCCTCGCTTGTCGCCTCTGCTCCTTTGCTGCTTCCCGTTTATGTCAAGTGCGGTCTAAGGACGTCTTCCAATGTCAATCGCTTACCATCACTACTACCTTGCCGCCCTTCGCTCTTCCGGGAATCATCGATGCCAGTCGCTTATCGTCTCCACTCCTCTACCACTCACCGTTGTTGATGTCCTTATGTTTTCGCGGTTTCTTTCTCACGCACTTACTTGCCGCGTGTCCCGCCGATGCTTGTCGTTCGAACGCCTCTGCTCCTCTGCCGTTCGTCGTCGAAATCGAGGTCACCGTTGACTCTTGTGCCTTCCGGGTTTGGTTATGGCCGCGACTCCTCCAGATGACACACGTCGTTGTTTGTCGATCTCCTCCTATTTATGACATTTCTAATTGTGTCGTTGGCCAACTGTTATTCACTGTCTCTTCTCATGCATACTTTGGTTTCGCCAAGGGCTCACTCCACTGCGACTCCTCCGGCAGCCGCTGGTGCCGGCTCCTTCCCCCTTTCTTGCCACATGTCCAGAAACGTGGCGGGTATGGAGTCATACAGGGAACCCCCCACTCCGGTGGAGGGTCGGACCGGATTCCACGTCAGCTTGTGACGCGGCGCGGCCCAGCGTCGTTGATCCTCTGCGCGTGCGCTAAACGCCGAAAACACAGAACCCGCGATAGCATGGCACCAATATTACACCAATGGAGAATCGAAACACTGAAACCGAATGTCAATGAGAGCTTAGTAACTTACTCTCGTCCCCACCAACATACGTATCCAGGCCCTCTCTCCCTACTTGGCGCTCGGCGCCCAGGCTACTCCCTACACATCTACTTCCTGCCTATGAATTGGCAATGCAACTGTTGACGCCAGCAGCCATCAAAGTACTTGAAGATGTCGACCAATGCAGAGCATCGCCAATACCAGGTATGCACCCTCACATCATCATCCTCATCTCTCCCACTCTCTCCCTGTCCTTGTCTTCCTCCCACGTCTTCTCCCTCATGCACGAAGACCACCACCACCTCCATCGGTTGTCCAAGCCAAGCCCTGGCTATGTAGGGCTGGCTATGGCGCTGCCCTCAGCAGCGCCCTGCCTTCTTCCAGCCCCCGCGCGCACTGCCTGCCAACTAGCGCTAGCGCACAGCGCACTGCCCACAAACACATGTTCAAGCAGCGCTGCCGCATGCACTGCCTAGTGCCCGAATGAGCCCACCAGTGGTGAGCTCTTTCCTTTATGGAAAGTGCTCGGCGAAGGCATGCGTTGACGGACACTTTCGGTTCGTGGGTGGTCCAGACGTGGTCCAGCGAACGGGAGCACGGACATCCCTGCGTCGAAAATCTGCACGAATTGTCGGCTGGCGTCCTGCGATCTGCTGCGGCGGGCGATCATCGACAACGGTCCGAAATTCGAATGTTTTCCCCACCCGGCGCCCCTTTCGACGACGACAGTTTCATTGCAGAAGATCGTCATTTTCTTCGTTTGTCGTCATGCCTCGCACGTTGGAGCACAGATCTTCCACCGATCTTTCTTGTGTCCACGCGTTTGTTCGTTGGACGGTCGACCGCTATCGTCGGTTTGTTGCCCTTTGAACGGCCCTTACATGGCCTACCTGCTGCACAGGCTGCCTCTGCTGCTCCTCGTCGTCGTGCTGCTTCTCGTCGTTGTCTTCTTCCACGTGTGTTTCGTCGGCCTCGTCCCGCTCGCGGTTCGCAGAAGGAGATCTTCCAAGAAAGCCAATAGGATGGATCGACGACTGGCCAACGGCAGACCGGCAGCCACAACCTCCGGAGCGAGCAATCTGCAACGCAATACGGGGTCTTCCCACGTCTGTCGAGTCGTCGCATTGCCTAAGGTCTTCCCACGTGCCTCCTATCCTGTGCTTCACCCACCACTGCGGCGTCGCACGAGGAATCACTCCGCAACCCAACGCGTAGAACAGCTGAACAACAGCCTCCGACGTCACCACGTATTCGGCCCCATCGTCCGGACCTTGCGTCAATGTCCTCCGTATACGCGAGCGCAACTGCTCCTTCAGTCGCCCGAGCGCCCTCTCCTGCTGATATCGAAGAACGATCGTGGACACGGCCGCCGCCACGGCCTGCAGCTCACGAGGCGTCAACACATCACGTCTACCCTCTCCGCCGCCCTCCATAGCCGCGACGTGGACACGGACCCGTCGCTCCGCTGCCGTCTGTGCCGTCCTTCCGCACCCGACGAAGAAGCCGAAGACGTCCGTCGAAAGGTGGCCCATTTTTTCTGCTTACAGTCCCGCACACGGAAACGAGGAGCAAGGCACAGTCGACGTGTGCAAAGGTCCACGGTGATGGACGCACCACACGCTGCCCACGCAGTCGCAACGGCCTCGGGACGGAACCTCCGCCGCCGCTGAGCCCATTTCCGCAGCATGCCGTCCTCGCGCCACCAGCCACACGTTGTCGTCGTCGTCGCAGCAGTCATTCGGATTTCGAATTTGAAATTCACAAGCCCGTGGGGTTAAAATTCTTTTCGCGTCGCCCGCTGTATGCCGTTTCCCGCCTCGCGTCGCTAGACCACGCCGCCTCCACACGGACAAAAGACGCTGGACCAAGGACGACCGACCCCACGACCGCTAATTTGCGTATGAAAACGGCTGCGGGTAAGCCACAAGGAAACATCCTCGGGGGAGGTCCCCAAGGATGAGTGGAACGACACCGCAAATTCCCCTAAAAAAACACAAGGAGATTTCCTTGTGGCTCAAGGAACTCGTAAGGAGTGTCTAACGAGGCCCTATGTGTATTTTATTTGAGTTCGTATTGTGCGAGGATTTAATCCCTTGGTAGTGTCTGAAAGTGCCTTGCCCGCCCTCGGGAGGTCCCTTGGGGGTTAGGAAGAAATGGCTGTGGCCACAAGGATGCCACAAGGAAATCTCCTTGTGGTGTTTTCACTTTTTTTTTCGAGAATCGTCCCCAAGGACAGGTGGAACAATCATTTCCTTGTGGATTTCGGGTCCACAAGGAGTGTCTAACGAGGCCCATAACCAAACGAATTGCGTGAAATATGGAAATTGATCTAATCGAGGTATTGGTTTTGTACTGTTTTGCTAGGAAGATTCTCATGCCTGGCCGGGCACCCGGGCATGCAAAAAATAAAAATAAAAATAAAACTTATAAAAGCTTTTTTTGTGGTTTTCTGTGCTCTCCAAGAGGACCCCAAATCCGGGCTCATTTTTTTTTTTGCGAGTTGGCTGTCAAGGGGGCCGGAGGGGGCTATAAATTGGTTTTAAAGGGGCTAAAAGGGTTAAAATGGGGTTGCCTTAGTGTGATTCTGTTATTTTCTTTTTTATCTCGGGTTCTGTGAGGAATTCTAGTATTGCAATTCTACACAACATATGTTTTTTCTGGAGTTTTCTGCTTTTCTTTTCTTTTTTTTCTTTTTTTTTGGCGCTGGGGCTACCCGGAATCCTGCCCGGGAGTCATGCTGGCCAGGCGCTCGGGCATAAGTTGGGTGCCCAAGCACCCGGAAGCTTTTTTGTTCTTTTTTTTGGTGATTGTTCGTGAATTTCTTTGACTAGGATATTCAAAATTTTTGGATTATATTTTAAGATTGAGAATGTATATATATCCTTGAACTTCAGACGGTAATCCATGTGTGGCTTCTCTCGCTGCTCTTACTGGTTTTGCTGACCATCCCCCTTATCGCTCCAGGACCTGCTCGTACTGGTTTTGCTGACCGTCCCCCTTTTTTGTTGTTTTTTTTTGGTGATTGTTCGTCAATTTCTTTGACTAGGGTATTCAAAAATTTTGGATTCTATTTTAAGATTGAGAATGTATATATAATATATATCCTTGAACTTCAGACGGTAATCCATGTGCGGCTTCTCTCGCTGCTGGTACTGGTTTTGCTGACCGTCCCCCTTATCACTCCTGCTTGTGTCCCCCAACCAAACGACCTCCGCTATCCATTCCTCACTGTCCCCTCGCAACCACTCCTGGCTGAATTGGGTGATCCTTGCAGCAATGTCCTGATGGTGCTGAGTGTATCCAACGTCTGTTTGACCACCTGCCACTTCTGCTCCAATGCTCCGTTTTGATTTGGTCCATCACCTCCTCCCGTTCCTGATTCGGAACATGTTCTCTGTCTGAGTGTCGGAAGGGGGGGGGGGTAGAACGGGGGGTCCCTGTTCTAACCGTAGAGCGGGGTCCTAACCCCCATCCTACCCCCGGTTCAACGGGGTAGAGCACCCCGTGCCGAAGAGCGCTCCGGCCAGCAAGGGGGGGGGGAGGGCAACCCCATTTCGGTGGCATGGGGGGGTGGCCCCGACAGTTGGGGACCCTCCCGCTCTGCAATTATTTTTTTTATTAAAAAAAAAAACTGGAAAACCCCGGGGGGGAACAAAATGATAGGCCAGCTGTCAGACCCTTTCAGGGGACCGACAGCTAGAGGGAACCGCCCAGCGGTCCAGGCCTGCCCAATAAGTTGGGTGCTCCCAACGGGAGCACTTCCTTCCTCACTGCTGGAGGGAAGGCACTCTGTGTGTGTGTGTGGTGTTTTTTTTTTTTTTTTTTTTTTTT